CAAACACAGTCAGGTTCTCCGCCTTCTGTGGTCTCTCGCACATCCTCGGCAACGGCGCTCCCCAACCTGCTCAACGCGGAACCGCCAAGGTCTCCAGCAGTAACTTTTGGGTCACATGGAAGCCCGGGTGGACTTGGTGCATTGGAGGCGTTGGTCCAGGCGGCGACGGAGGAGAGGCGTCGGCTGAGCGGTGAGCTTCCAACTCCTATGGAACGGAAAGAATCTGCACGGAGAGCATCCATAAGCCCTGTCCTCAACCGCAATCCGCCCCCGCTTCCTACGGTCTCCCCGGTTTCACAGAAGAGCCCACCGTTGCCCTCCCTCCGCCTCGACGTACGCGTCAACTCGCTGGCCTTCATCTCACTAAGCCAGACGCCCTCTCAAGACAGTGAACCCCCGACCAAGAGACGCAGGAGAACAGGCAGTTTCAACACCAGCTTGCCCGTGTTGCCGGGTCCAGCACCCATCCTCTCGGCGGACCCTGCTCCGTCTACGTCCACCTCTCCCGTCGCGCCTACCCGCATTCCTACTTCCCCAGTTGTTCCTGACACCGTTCCGTCTCCTGCCAGCTATACTTCACCCTCGGTTCCGGCGTCCACTCTTGCGGCTGCTGCTCAAGTTCGGTCTCCTACACCACCATCTCCTACCCCTCTCCCGCCCTCGCCTCCGCCTGATCTTAGCATTGCGAAATTCGCCGTTGCAGCTGTGTCTCCCACAGTCGAACCTCCTCTCTCCCCCCCTGCTGTCCCTGCTATCCTTGCTGCTCCTGTTGTCCTTGCTGTCCCCGCGCCTTCCTCTCCCTACGCGCCACCGCCACCTACGCTCCCTGCAACGTCCAAACCTATCAGTATATCACAACTTCTCGTATCTGAACCGCCAGTCGACTACACGCCCAGCGTCGTCGATGCCGTACGAACGCCGCCCCCCCACGAACCTTCACCGGAGCCTATGCCTACATCTCCAATAGCTCCGGTGGTGGAGCCGTCGCCAGAACCGCTAGACGAGAAGACTGCTATCGACATCATGGAGGCGGTACCCGAACCAAGTGTGGCTGAGAGCTCAGCTCGGGTGGAGACACCCGAGACACCCCCCTTGCAGCTTATGGAGGAGGTGCAGCCAGTCGAAGTAATACCAGCTGAAGCGGTACCGGATGAAGTGATATCCGTGGATACAGCAGCACAAGCCATACCAATGGAAGCAGTGTCAGTGGACGCGGTACAGGTGGACGCGGTACAGGTGGATGCGGCGCCATTGGATGCGGCACCGGTGGATACGGTGCCAGAAGACACGTCGTCGGTGGATGCAGTGCCAGTGGACGTACCGCTAGCGCAAACCGTGGAGGCGGACGCGGTTCCAGTGGAAACCGTGAAGGTGGAGGAAATGCCAGACGCGTCTTTAGCAGCGTCTGAGACACTGGGACGCCCGCTCGTGGTCCCCACAGATATCCCGCGGGAGCAGGATGCGCACGAGTGGCTGTTGGAACACTATGCCACCGACTCTCCTGCGTCCGTGTCGCGACGAGCTTCTCCAGCGCCGGAAGAGCCGCCAGACTCACCTGCTCCATCGAACGGCTCCCCGCCCCCTGAGGTAAAGCCTGAAGAGGTGCAGATGGCGCCCGTCTCCCCAGAGCCCGCCGTGGACGAGATCGTACCGGCCGCCAAGATAGTCAAGGCTCGATCTAGGACCCCCACCCCCCTTGCACTTCTGGAGGAAGAGCTGGACCGTGCTACGCCAGACGAACGCATAATTCCCGATAAGGCGGCATCTCCTACCTCGGACGCCGACTTGGCCATGGAGCTTGACCTCGCGGCCAGTGCTTCGAGGGAAGCGGTCCGCGACGTAGATGTGTCGATGAGCAACGAGCTGGACGACGAACTTCTGAGCTTGTTGGACGAGGAGCCACGACACTCGCACTCGCACTCGCATGTGCACTCGCGCACGCATACACATACACATTCGCACTCGCAAGCGGCTTCGCATCCTCCCAAACCATCTCATACCTCGGCGGGCTCGCCTCGCCTGGACAGGCATTTGGACAAGGTGTTTTCTGCTGCAAAGCCCCCTGACAGTTCTGCGCCTCCTGCTGTTATCGCTCCTGCGCCCTCTGAACTGGTAGTCATGCCGCCGCCGATCGCTCCGCCAGGACTGGCAGCTAAGCAGGCGGCGGTAAGCCAACAACAGCCCTCTGCGAAGTCGCAGAAAACAGAGGCCTTGACTGCGTCCGCAAGTTCAAAGAAGAAGGAGCCAGCAGCGAAGGTGCGTTATCATAAGTTTTGAGTGATATGTCGTTTCTCACCCCTTTGTCAGGCGTTACAGAAAGCTAAGCCGACAGCGAAGCCCAAGGCCAAAGCTGCCGCTGCGAAATCCAAGGCGAAGCCCGCCGTCAAAGAAGGCACAGCTGGGTCCAGTGGCCGTCTCACTCCTTCTGGCAGCGGCTCGGTAGCCAAGGGGAAGAAGACGGCCGCGACAAACGCTGTCGCGGCGTCCGCTGCGAAGCGGTCTGTCTCAGCAGCGGTGGGCCAGTCTCGCTCACGGTCAGCGTCTGTCATGCCTGCTCCACCCGAGCCTGCTAGCAAACCGCAGGAAGAGGAGGAAGAGGAAGAAGAAGAGGTGGTGGACGACAAGCTCTATTGTATCTGCAAGACGAGCTACGACGAGGACCGGGTCATGATTGCATGCGACCGGTGAGTTCTTGAATGACCGTCTTCGCCTTTACACGTGCTGATATTCAAGCAAGATGTGACGAATGGTACCATACCCAATGTTTGAAAATGGACGACCTGGAGGTAGACCTGATTGACCAATTTGTCTGTCCGCCTTGTATAAAGGGTGCGCGATGACCGGTTTACATGACGTTCCGCCGCGACTCACCGTTCTACCCCTCTATGACAGCCAACCCTCACTTGCTTTTGAAGACGACATACAAGAAACGCTGCTTCGCCGGCTTGCAGCACCCGCGGCCTTCCTCTGCCGCCGCATGCCACAAGCCCGCACGCGGGGCGTTCTCCAAGTTCTGCTCTGATGATTGCGGGATCACTTACATGCAACGACGCATCGAGAGCTGGGGTGGCGAGGAGTCAGTGCTTTGGGCAAGCGTCCGGGACGTCAAGCAACGAGAGGGTGTCGTCGTCAAGGTGCACCTAGTCAAGGAGGAGCCCAAGCCCACACGGAGACGGAAACCCGAGCCGCGGGCTGTAGCGCAGAATCAGCTCCTTGTGGAGGCGTACGAGGTGCAGAGACCGACGAAGTCGCAGCGGGAGCGTGCTATCGCCCGACTACAGGGGGAGTTGTTCAAAATTGCGCCGAAACGCGAGGTTTTGAAAGACGAGCTGGAAGTCATCCTGTGGCGACAGAAGGTGCTTGAGCTCGCAGCGGCGCGAGCAGAACGGGTGCAGGAGTGCGGATGGGATCAGCGCCTGTGTCTCGACGACGACGAGTACGGAGAGTACGCCGCGGGCGTGCTGGAGAGCTACGAGGAAGGCCATGCCAACGGTGACGACGCGATGCAGGTCGATGGCACGGTCGTCGAGGATGGTGCGTGGTGGTGCACGGGCAAGAAGAAGTGCCCGCGGCATGTTGGGTATGTTCATGTCCCCTTGAGCTGCTTGCGCCTCCTGCTGACAATAAATTCTCAGATGGCAGAAGTTGCGCGCGAACGAGCTTGAGTTCGACCAAGAGCTGAAGGAGAAGGCGATGTCGGCTCTGACCACTCAAGAGCGCGAGATCCGCAGGCAGTTGGAGGATGTCATCAGTCTGGAGTCCCGCCAACCAAGCATAATGGTGCCGGGTCCCATTCCTCAGCCCGTGAACGGACACACTCAAGGAAATGGGACGGCCAAGTCCAAGACCAACGGCACCTCGCAGAAGAAGGGCAAGCAGAAGAATTGATGTAGCATACACGACCCCTTCGTCAAGTTTAGATGGCTCGTTTACATACACTACCGCAGCATCTCCTGTACTACCGCACGCCATAATACGATGTGTATTGTGTATATGTATTAGATCCCCTAGCTCTGCAACTGCGATACCAGCAATGAACGCGACGACAAGGACATAAATACAACAAATGGGATGACTCTCTGGCGTAATGAATCTGCCTGCGGTTGGAGTACATCCATAGGAATGATGGGTCGCCGGTCACTGATACGATGCCGGGAACACCTGGGTGTGCGCTCAGGTGAGCTCCTCAGTACCCGTCGCCCTCCCCGCCCTCTTTGCAGAAGCCCTTCTGCTCGTAGAGGATCTGGGACTTGGCCTCTTCTCGTAATTTCTTGTCCGCGATGTCTTGCTTATGATACGCCTCCAAAACGCTCCATTCTACCTGACGCAAGGGCACTTCATCTTCTTGATCAAGGTCCTGTCCAGCAGCAGCCGCTCAGCATAGGCCGAGTGCAAGGAGTCAGGTCGGCTCACGATCTCTCCTAGCAGCACGACGTTCTCGCCTCGTATGAGAAAGAGGCCGCGCCACATTTCCGCGAAGACGTCCTGGTGGTATATGCGTTCCACTGTGTCCTCTAGGACGAGGTTGGCTAGTACGGGCGCGGTTCTGTCAGATGTCCGACGTCCTCCCGGAGGCGCTCTGTGGGGAATTTGAACACTCACCAAACTGATCATAGGACCGGAGAACGCCTTGTAGCTTCCGACCGTCTCGTAGGAGCACGAGCATCTTCCCTAACCAAAGCCAAGCGGACGTGGACCGGTGCGGAGAGCGGCAGGGGATATGGGCTCAGGGTGCACCTTGAGCGGACTCGGGGTAGACGTACTATCGACGCAATCCACGAGCGATCCCGAGGTGGTAAATGGGATGAGGGAGTCCATCGTGTTCGTAGGGACACTGTGCAAGCGCACAGGCAGGTTCGACGTGCAGTACGAGTAGGCGGTTGTTGAACACGATGGCGAGGACGGAGGCCGGAAACGGCGGAGCTGTTGCACAAGCTGCAGCCTGCAGCACGCTATATGAGCGCACACTATATAGCTACACACAACCCTAGCCTTATCAAGCTGATATGGCCGAGTCGTTAAGGCGAGTGATTTGAATGTATGCAAACATCACTTGGAGTTTCTCCGCGTAGGTTCAAATCCTGCTGTCAGCGAATATTTTCCCTTATTTTGCCTTTTATGACTGCATTATGCGCCGACCAGGGCCATGGGCGATATGGCTCAGGCTCGCAAACGGGGCGGAGGACACTTGTTCCTCCTAAAAAGAGCTCAGATAGAACCTCTTGTGAGGGTGGACCTGAACGTATCCTGTCAAGATTGAGACTCAGACGTTCCTAAGGGCGTCACTACTCCCACAACTTGAAAAGGTCCCCGCTGCCTACGAGGCAATATTGACGAACGTAGAAAGCTGCGGTAAAGCATAAAGCATCTCGATGTACACCCTACGAGTAAGTACTATATTCAATCTGTATTTATATGCCCTGGTGTGGTGGGATCCCATAACTCAGGTCAATGGAGTATTACGACCGTAGATCCCATTATGACGGTCAGCGAAGTTGCGTGGAAATATGGTGACCTTCAGGAGGTTACATATGTGCGAGCCCTTGTGTCAAATTGTTTCCATACAGATGTCTGGACACGCCGAACGTATATCAGTTGGACTCGCAAGGGTCAGAGAAACATTTAAATCCCTGCAACTACACACGCGCGTCGCCAGAATAGCGCTGAACTGGCCTTATGATGGTCGCCGGCGTAGATCCATGGGTTCACATTTGTGTTTATCGGGACACGCAGGGCAACGTTCAGGATGGAGCGTGAAAGTGTCTGCTATTGACGCCACTCATGATGATGTCGACGCCGTTGCCTCCTTCCCAAAGTACTGCCATTGACCCGGCTGCGGCTGCTCCTCCAGGGGCTCCCACCTGTAAAACGTGTCAGGTAGTGCTACGGTGTAGTACTGGATACACTCACGCCTTCCATTCGAGCATCTTGGCTGCGAGACTGAGCTCATCCTGCGCAATTTCCAGCGACTCCTCGACGTGACCCTCGTCCAGCTCCTTCTCCAGCGCAGTGATGTCTCCGTTCGCCTTCTCCACGGCCTTCAAACGGTGCAGCGTGAGCGCCTCTGCGCCCTGGCGGTACACGGATGATTGGGGGATGGCAGAAAGAGTCTGAAGGGTGGCCTCGTATGTCTTCTTCAGCTCAGGGAGGGGGTCATGGTGGACCTTGAGGCCAGTGAGGCCCGTAGTCGGCTTCCGTACCGCGTTGAGCAGAGGGCGCGTGAAGCGGAACATGGCGGACGGTGGTGACGATGAGCAGGCGCCCAATTCGCCCGAGAGCAACATTTCGCGAGGCGCCGGGCTTACTCGTCGATCGTTTGCCGCCACGGACTACGCTCTACTCTCGACCACCATGGCGGCAGCACTCGCTCTACATCAATCCAGCTCATGGCTGTCGGCCATGCGGGCTCCCCTCGCCCGCATGTCGCTTGCTGCCGCCTTCCTTCCTGCTTTCTTGGCTGCGCCGAAGCCGTTCTCGTGGGCCATGCCTGCACTGCCCTCCCTGCTCGAGCTCTTCCCTCCGTGGCTGCTCGCGGTTCCCAAAAAGAAGACGTCGCATTCGCGGAAGGCCATGCGTAGCGCAAACAAGGGCTTGAAGGACAAGGAGAGTGAGTAACGTGTGCAAGCTACCGCTAGGTCAGTGACTGACAGGTCTTCGCAGACTTGGTGCATTGCCAGAGCTGCGGCTCACCAAAGCTGGCGCACAACATGTGCCCGAAGTGCTACCGGGAACTCAACATCAGCTGGAAGGCGAAGAACCGGTCTGCGGATCCGAGCGGTATCACCGTGTTCTAGAGGGTGGATTGGTGTATAGCGTGCGTGTCTCAACCTCCGCGGACTCGTACGGCCAGCTCGCTGACTTCATACGCAGTAGTATACGTTCTGATAATTCTAGTTGCTTCCTCGACTTGCCTGGCCTGCACGCTCTGTTTTCAAACGCTTCGGCGATGGACGTACCTCCTCAGTCAGATTCGCTTGAGCTGCGCCGTCTTCGAGGCCCGTACACCCCTGGCAAGAATCAAGACCAAGCTGCTGTCCTCAATCGTGTCTTCCACCAAGTATTAAGACTTCTCCTTAGATTGCCGTCGCACCTCACACCACGGCTTCAACAGTGACACATCCTGTCCGCATGAGCTCCAAGCACATAGGCCCGTGCCGCTGAAAAGATAGTCTGACGTTCTATTGTTACAACATGCTCGTACATTCCTACAGCAAAGTTCAGAGAGCATCACAAAGCCCTATTCTGTTCGCCGCCCGACGGAGTTCCTCAGTTCATACGCACAGCAGCTGGATCAATTCCTTGGCCTCCGCCGACCGAGGCTTGATGTCGCACTCAAATCTTGCCGGGTATCTATATCGTTGTAAGTTCAGGACGATCTGCAGCAACCATCGATGGGCGAGCAATACGCACGTCACTACTCCTGAAATCATGTCAGGTATGATCTTCACCGGTTCGCCGTTGGCATCTTGCTTCGGCGCAATGTCAAAGACCTGCAGGACGGATGCCACGTAAATGTAGATAGACGCGACCGCAAAGTGACGGCCTGGACATTCTCTACGACGGGTCATTCGCGTCAGTGTTACGAGAGGGCAGTGGAGTGGCGTGTGCGATACGGCACCTTCTTCCGAAACCAAACGCGTAGGTGGTGGGGTCGAGCACGCTTGAGTCCCATGCGCCGTCTTTGAAATAGCGGTCAGGATTGAAGATGTCCGGCTCCGCATAGGTCTGTGGGTCATGGGATATCGCCCTGTCCATGAGCGATGATGAGCAAGGCGCTCATAGGATCCGCTGATAGGGATAGTTTTTTGCGAGCTCACCATACATTGCCGAGCACGATAGAGCCCTTGGGAATGTAGTACCCCTTGTACTCATCGTCCTCCATGAGGCGGTGAGGGAGACCGAGCGTGAAGACATTCTGCCACCGGAGGCACTCCTTCACAATCGCGTGAATGTACGGCAGCGAATCCTGGTCCGCAAACTCAGGCAGACGGTCGGGTCCGATGATCGCGTCAAGCTCGGCCTGCGCCTTCCGCTGGGCCTCAGGATATAACGCCATCGCAAGGAAGAATGTCTGCAAGGTAGAGAAACTCTGCGACGCATCAGCATGCAGCACATTTGCCGAAAAGCACGGGGGAGTGGCACTGACGGTATCGGCGCCGGCTGTCGTGGAGATGGGAGTAGGTAAGGTTAGGTTTGATGCGGATGTACGAGCAAATCTTGTGGACCCACCGCCGTAGGTGACTGCCGCTACGTTCTTCGCCAACTCTTCGGTGCCAGCGGACGTCCCGTCGCCCACCTGATAGTCGCGGTGCATAACATCGCTGGCAAGAGACCGCGTACCCGCACCGTCACGCTGTCGATAGCGAACAAACAGCATCGATCAGGACTATAGGGAGGTGGATCCGCGTGCTACTCACAAAGTTTGCGATCGCCTTCTTGAACGGCTCGTGTTTGAGCGCCATTGCTTCTTTGAACCACTGCGCGGCCTTCTTTTGGTAGGAGGCGCCGGGGAACCAAGGCGGCACATAGCGGAGGAACGGTAGGAACTCGACCCACAACGCTCCCAGCACGAGGGCCTCTGCAGGGCCTTCTACCGCCCTTTCGCCGACGGCGATGTACTCGTCATGGCTGTCCTTGGCCTGGATGCCGTACGCAATCTCAAGAATAGTGGCTCCAAGGTCGCTTCGCGTCGCCGGTGCGGTCAATACATATACGGTCACGATCAAATGCGGCACGTTACTCACTAGCGTAAGTCAGGCACAAAATTATCTGGGTTGGCCAAGAGTCGTGTGAGGAGGTTGCGGGCACCTGAGAGCTGACTTGATTGATATTCCTTGACGGTGCCCTGGTGGAAGTGCTCATGAAGAGCGCGTCGGATTTGACGCCATTGAGGCCCATAACCCATCAGCGCAACATTCCAGTCCCAACCAATCCTATGTCAGACGTGTTAAGAACTTCCCGTGCGAGATGCGAGTTACAATGGTTGGCTTACATGCTGGCAACCGTTGAATCGAGGCGGTCCGAATACTTGGCAGAACGCTTGTCAAGGAGATCCTTGGCCGTATCGATGCCACTCAAAACGATGACCGGCTGACCCAGAAGACTGATGTGAAAAATGTCTCCTGGGGGCGTGGCGTGAGTGAGATGGACTCGAGTGTAGTGACGAGATCGCGTACCATATTCTGCTGCCCACCTCTGGAATGTGAGCCATTGCTTGGATAGCGGAATATCGAGGGCGTTTCCGAGGATGGGCTTAGGCTTAGGGCCAGGCGGGAGGGGAAGATGACGGGGATACTGCTTGGACTTTACGTATGCCCGCAGGAGAAGGAAAGAGACAGCAGCAGCGGCTACCCAGACAAGAGGATACTGGATGTCGGACATAGCGATGCAGACGAGGACAGGACGTCTGATAGACTCAGTCTTTTATCCCCTCATCTGCAAATCAGATTCACGACCCGGACATATCTTCGCCGTGTCCGGAGGGGGCCTGGTGTGGGTGTGATGCGGTCATTGGAAGCTAACTGCTGTTCTGACACGTTGGGCGTTGCACCAAGGCACCTACATACGGTGCGACGGAGATACCAGCCAGTGGTCGAAGAGGCTAGCCCCAACGTACTAAATCCACAAGGCGTGTCAGTTCAAGGTGGCTCCCGAATAATGAGGACTTGTTACCTGTACCATGTGGTGCGCGGTAGTACTCCTGCCCCTGGTGGACTTTTTCGTCCCACGTCCCTTGTAAAGAATTTGGTCATGATTGTGAGGCACGGCACGGCATGTATCCGGGTGCCGTACACGGAACGCGATCCGGTTCCTTGCTGACGATGAAAATGTGCAGTAATGGCGTTCTCTGCTTGGCTATATGTCGACAAGAGGATCCTGGGGTGCGGTGTGTGGGCAGCCCGTATCGAATCCTAGCCGAATTGAGCATCTATCGGGCGCGATGCGGTCCTAGGAGATCATCACGCGTTCACTGAGCAACTCCGGCGCAGCGCTGAGGACCACACCTAGACCACGAAGACAAGGCGGCTGACACGGAGGTGTTCGTCTCTACGTACAGCGAAGCTGGGTGTTCATGGTGGTTCGAGGTCAAGCC